AGGAAGTTGAGTTTGAGGGATTTGGGTTTGGTGAAACTGAGTTTGAGGGTTTTGGGTTTGGGAAGTTTCTTGTGTTGTTATGGTAGTTTGGTTATTTTCTGTTTGAACATTCCTTCCCTGAGTGTTTCCCTCTTGAGTGTTTTCTTCTTGAGTGTTTTCCTCTACTTGATCTGGTCGAGTTACACTAGTCCATTGTTTCTGTCTGGCCACCTGATCCACCTGTCCCCATTGCTTGATTATGCAAAGCCTGTAGCCTTTGCAATTCTTTTTGCAACTCATCATGCTGTTCTCGGCTCACCATGACAGCCCCTTGTGCTTATACCATTTCAGCAAGTTCTACCTCACTTGGAGATGTCCTCCTCGTTTCCTCCCTTGTTGGGTCAGTGATTCTTTCCTCATGTCCTGTTCTATTCACCTCAACTTCGGTGGCCGTGCTCACAAAAGTGTCCTTGTATCGAACAGGCCCGGTCTTTTGCCATTGAGAACATCGCATTTACTGTTCAAGCCCACTCCTTGGAGACTTTACGTCCCCACGGACAGCGCCACTGTTGTGACCTTAGGCCACGGATAAGTTCAGGGATAGGAGAGAAAGTACGTTTCCCCCGCCTATCCTAAGAATGAGCTCGAACACAAAATACACGGTATTAGCAATTGATATTTCTCTATTAAATTATATCTTGTCTTGCTACAGGATTTTGGCCGGCTTATATATCCCACAGCCGTACATGTTAGGTTACAATCTTACCCCTATATCTCTTGTGAGCTTACCATAATGCCCTTGCCATGTCAGCAACCCTAGGGGCATTTTGAAGGTGTTTATGGTCTTTTGGTGCCAGCTGGCAGTGGTGGTTGAGTGTAGTCCCCATGCAATCTTTTTATGGTATCTTCCTTGCTCATGTAGTGTTTTCCCTCAAGTTCCGCGGTTGAACATCTTTTCCATCTTCAGAGTTCAAACACTCCTTTTCACCTGCTAGGCTCTTGGAATTTACCTGTCACAAGTAAAAGTCCACTCAAGCGGGATAAGCTGCTCAAGTGTCACAAAATCATTCGAATGGAACTTTACCAGTCGGATAGTATTTTTCCCAATTACAAGTCTTTTCCAAGTTGGACAATTAGGATTCTCAAGACCTCATTTCCCTCGGTGTTTTGACCGAATGGGGAGGATGGTGTTTACCCCTTGCTACAACACTCAAGTCTCCAAAATATGTAAGTTCATCTAGAGTCAAAAATCCAAATTAATCTAAAACAATTCATTTGTGGTGAAATCAATAATTCAAATTCAGGTGAAATATTTGAATTCCTAAAATTCAAAAGTCCAAAGCTACAGCACTACAATTCCATTCAAATTCCAATCCCAACCATTTTGCAGATTAGCCCCTCCATCTTCTCTTTTCCTTTCCTTCCTTTTCTTTTCTTTTCTAGCTGGTACTGTTCATTGCCCAGTACCTATTCGACCTGGGCCTACAACCTTCCAGGCCGAAGCCGCAGTACCAGCAGAACATGCCCAGCCCGTGCGCTCCTCTTAGGTGCATCGCGACCCTAGCCAACCATGCCCCTCTCTATGCACCCAACCCATCCCTGATCCCACGCGTGCCCGCATTGCGTCCATGCCACGTGCGCCGCTTCCATGTGCTGCATCACGCCATGCCACACCACGACAAAATCTGCGCTCTCTCGTTCCGGTTTCTATCCGGGTGACACGGCGCAATGCCGCTCCATCGTCACCTCTATCGCGTAGACTGGCAACCCTAGCCCAACGCCATCACCCATAGCACATCATACGTCACCTTGCCACCGAAGGATAATGGCCACCATGACTTACCATCGTCACCATGTTGCGCCGCATCCACTAGGTAGAACCATGCATCCCTAGCCGAGCCCTGCATCCCTTCGCCGCGTCTCCACGCCTAGCCACAACACAGTCCGTCGCCATCGCCGTGACTCCACGCAGCGCATACGTCCCATCACCCCGCGTCACGCCCGGTGGGTAAAATGACGCATCTCCTTGCCGGCTAGCTTCGAGACCTGCACCCCTACCACCGCCATAATTCTGATTGATCCCTAAATCCCCGAGAGTGTGAATTGGAGATCTAGGTCTCGTCAACCTCGGATTCACTCTTATCAATTCGCCAATGCAAGCCAACTCACTTCTCTCCCCTATTTATACCATCCCTGAGCTCGGCCTTATCGATCCCTCTTCTTCCTCAAAGAAACCGTGTGGGGCGCCGCCTAGCCATGGGTCGAACACCTGCGAGGTGTGGGCTGCACCGCCACTGCAAGACACGTTGGTGGAGTTGGAGGTTGGAGGGGGTGGAAGCAGGGTCCTGCCACTGTCGCTGCGGTTGGAGGAGGCCAGGAGCCGTTGGACGCCAAGGACCAGGCGCGGAACACCATTGGGCGTTGCTGCCGCTATCTGCCTCTGCACCATCCGCACTGCACCACGAGCCGCCGCACTTCGCCATTGCTTCACTCCGTGGGAAGCCCTCGCGCCCGACGCGACCCCCTAGTGACCTAGAAACCAGCGGCACCTCAATTTGAGGCACCTGCTGCCATAGCCTTACCGGCCGGGCTGCCATTGTACCGCCGCCGAGCTCCCCTCGTGTGGGATCGTCCATAGAGAGAATAAGCCCCATTATTGTGAAATCGTCACCTATAGGGACCCTAGAACGTGTACGAGGAACCGGCTGCAAGCCTACGGTAGCTTCTGTCGTGCATGGCCGAGCTCGTCGTGATCTCAGTGCCAGTCTGATCCGCCGCACCGTGCCCCGTGAAGCCGCCCTGCGTCGTCGGCAGCGGCGGTGGGCCGTAGAGGTGTGCCACCGCCCGTCCCACCGTGGCGCCAACCGCGCATGACGCACCTGCTCCGCTCGGTTGCGAGTGTGAGGAGGAAGAAGAAGGGGAAAAAAGAGAGAGAAAGGTGGCTCCCACACGTAGATTAGCGCACAGTAACCACCTTGTTAATTGCGGATAAGTGAGTCTATGATTAGTTTGTGTTGCTTTATGTTAAATTGGTGTGTTTTAGTGGTTTCATTAGATTGTGAATGCTTTTGAATGATTTGGTGTAATAATTGGCTGTACCTCAGTGAGAAAAGGCCAGAAGAAATTCTATTATAAAAAAAAAATGATGCGTGGGTCCACGTGATTAAAAATCTAACTAAAATCAGTTATACGTGTACAGTCTATGACATGTGGTACCCATCAGTGATTAAAGGGCCGGTTTTGACCCTTGGTCAACCAGGGCCGTTCCCACCTGTCATTGGGTCCACATAATTTTCCTTAGAGAAATAATTTGGTAAATCAAATAATAAAACCATTGACCCCACCTGTCAGTGGCTCATAAGGATTTCCTTTAGAGAAATAAATCGGCAGAAAAGGAATAAAAACTCCTGGTCCCACCAGTCTGCCACTATAGGTTATGGATAATGTTTCGGAATAACAATAAATCAATTAGTAACAGTGCTGTTTCGCAATTATTGAAATTAATTCAAAATTGGATCTTCAAATAATCATAACATTTTCATTTTAGCTCCGATTTGAGTGAAACTTGAACCTAAATTCATAAAAATTCATGAGATTCACAACGGTATATAATTCATTATTTAATAAAATATATTTTATATTTATAAAATGACTAATATCAAATGATTAAATAATGGTTGACCTAAAAATGTGGTAATAAATAAAATTTATATTGTACAGTAAACTATGTAGGGGAATATTTGTCTTTGACCTGTTTTATCACGATGGAAACCATGTAAACTAATTAGAAGTTTTGTTTCAAATAATTAAAGCATAGGAAATACTAAATGTTATTGTTTTTCTATGACCCTATATGTAGTTAGATCCATGACTTATAAATTATCTAAATAAATTTTAGCCTTATAATTGTGTAAATAAAATAGGAAAACACATAGATCAACCCTAAGCTTGCTTAGGAGAAATAATAACAGAACTAGTGTGATTAAATCACCTACACAAAATTAATTAACGACATCCTATATAATAGTATATGTTTAAGTTGGTAATCAACCCTTATGTTAATAGACAGTAACCACCGCATGAACCCACCTAGATCACATATATTGTACGGCTTGTAGTAAGAAGCACATGTTTAATAAATAACAAAACCTTAATATATTCTTGAACATGTCAAACTTAGGATAAATTGATACATTTATATGTTAACAGATATTGATAAACCGTGGCATCTCATGCATAATTTTAGCTTTAGATCATTCGTGAATAAAACTATAACATATGATGATCCCTCAACTGAAAAGGACACTAACCTACCCTACAGAGCATGGTAATTCATTAGAACAGTTATACAGTAATATTTGTAGGGCCATGCCTAGATAATCCATCCTATTAAAACTACTGTAATGATTAAATTATCTACTGAGCCTTGGTGAACCTCCTGTAAGGCATCACCATTTAATTTAGATCAAGGCTAGTTTAACCATGAAGTCCCCATAGCCCATAGTTAAACAAACCTATGCTAACAGCATGAGCCTATTGATTGCTGGTTAGCCCAAATTAAAACACTATGGCAACTTAAAATATTAATCCTTAGATTCTAGTTGCCTTTGCTTCCTAAGTTGCCTAGCTACCAAGAAACCTTAGCCCATACCATGGTGGAATCCATTAGCAAGCCAAAGTAGTATGAGCAGCCCAAGGTATGTTTGCACATATTTGATTGTTGTTTGAATATTGGTTTTTCTTGCATATTATAGAATATGTTTATCGGTTAGTCATGAGGCAACATGTGTAACATCCACGAGGTGGAGGTTGATCAAGATTATATAAGAATAAGGACTATCCTGAGGATCCCAAATGCGAAATTAATTTGTTTACAAATAAATTTGCATGCAATGATGAATATCCTGCTTGTTATTATGCCATGCCTTTGACTATTGTTTATATTAAACAAGTGAGAGAACCATGCATATCTAATTAAAAAGATAAATTTGTTCCACATATTATAATAAGCAATCTCACAATTAAATCCATTCCAAAGCACCAATTTATTTTAATTTTTTAACACAATAGAGACATGAAGCGGCACCAGAAGGGGACATAGCCACCAAAAGGTGCCGGACCATCCAGAGAGACATAAATTTTCCACTGAAAACATCTTGGCTAAATATTCTCCTTGAGCCTCTCAACCCCTGCTTCCGAAGCCTCCAACCAAAGCTTATCATTGTCACGCTTCACGAAATCCATGGCAGCCTGGATTTCCTTCACTTCCCCCCTTAAGGTCTCCTGATTGCTTCTGGATTTTGCCTTTTTTGCCTCGACCAACACATCTAATTCCATTTTAAGCCTCTCGACCCCTGCTTCAAACATGCTATTTTTCTGCTCTGCAGTCAAAACCTCCAACTGAATCTTATCATTTTCACCCTTTCTCAAATCCTTGCTGCTATGATTTTCCTCCACCTTCATCTTATGGTCTTCCAATTCTTTCATGATTTCTGCCTCGTCAGAATCAAATGCATTTGTAGATGTCTCTTTTGCCTCCACCAATTCCATCCGTGACCAAAGCCTATCATTTTCAATTAGAACCTTACTATAATAAGCCTCCAATTCCTGATTCTTCGCTAGAGCTGCCTCTAGCTCAGACTCCAAAGATGCTGCCCTTGCATCCATCTCTGCCTTGTGAACCCCAAGGACCCTCAATTCCTCCACCTTATCCTTAATTTGCTTCTCTGCTACTTGTTGGTATGTATCTGCAGCATCCATGACCACCAAAACTGCCTTTCTCGCATCCTTCAGGTCCTCCACCATTGCCTTAATTTGCTTCTTTGCTACTTCTTGGTACGCATCAGCAGCGTTCATTAACAGCAGGCCTGTCTTCCTCGTGTTCGCCAATTCCTCTTCCTTTGTCCTAATTTGCCTATCTGCTACATGTTGGTACGTATCGGCAGCATTCATGAACAGCAGACCCGCTTTCCTCGTGTCCTCCCGTTGCTTCACTAGCACAGCAGACAGTTTGGTGTTTTGGTGCTCCAACTCCCGCACCCTGTACTCCAGTGTGGAGGACACATAAGCCGCTCTTCTCTTCTCATTGGACAGCTCAGTGTTTTCATTCACCAACCTCCGCACCCTGCTCTCTAGGTAACTCTTCTCATTGGACAGCTCAGTGTTTTCATTCACCAACCACCGCACCCTGCTCTCCAGGTTACTCTTCTCTTGGGACAGTCTATTGTTTTTGCGCTCCAACTCATACGGACCATCCTCCCAAGAATATCTATCCGCATCAGAGAAGAGAGATGGGATTATGCTGCGTACGTGCACAGGAATTGACTCGATTTGAAATAAATAAAATGATGTCTTGGCCCACTCGAATACCTCCAGTACCATGGCATGTTGTAGAGAGTTGGAGCAGAGGTCGATGACAAATTGCAGCCGCTGTTGTCACGCACTCGTCGGAGGTCGAAGACGTCTGCCCATGCCGATGGAATGAAGTTTCCTTGGGGTGTGTGTATATATATATAGGGAAGAGGCAAAAGTGGGACGGGTGGAAGGCATTGAGTGCCTGTGAAGAAGAGGATGGAGTGTCAACGAGGAAGAGAAAAAGAAGCAGAGGAGGGAAGGCATGGAGTACTGGTGAAGAGGAAGGATGGACTGCTGGTGAAGCGAAGACTGAATTCTCGGAGGACGTAAGTCTTTCTGTTAGGGAAATTTCTGCACGACACCGCCAGTTACCTGCCTCTTGCGCTGCATCTATGAATGGATGAAAATATAGTTTGGCATGGTTACCTGCTGTTTTCTTTTTATTTGTTCTTTATTATGGCCTTGGACATACTTCTTTATAGCCTCGGACTATTATCCATGAACGTTTTGTTCGGCAAATTAATGTTAATGACAGCAGTCCGAAATTTTCTTCATAGCTGACATCGTTATACAAGTCTGTTGATGCGAAAACACGAGGCCTGCGAGATCTGCTTAGCTCCAGTGTAGGTCCAAAGGTTGGTGAGGTGCAGACGTGCCAGTCAGTTTAATCCTACAACTGACAAGATATGTAACCAGTAGATCAAATAGCCGACCGGCTAAACAGCCGATGGAGCAATCCCAGCCGATGCCGATACCAGCCGATAGCGATAGGGTTTTGAGCTATCGGCTATATGTCCAATGTAGATCCTGATACTTGATGTAAATAATGATATAAAGGCAATCGGCTGATGATGATAAATAATAATAATATAGCAATATAATCCAGTAGAAACCAATCGGCTAGCAATATGATATGATAGAACAAGCACTGATCCGAAGGTTAAAGCATCCATCGGCTGAAGGACCGATGCCATAAAATACACAGATTAGATTAAACAGTGAAACCTTTGCTGTCATCGGCTAAATCCAACTTGTATATATATGTAATCCTTATAAGCCGATACAACGTCCAGATAACTTATCGGCTAGCACCCCGATAAAACATTAGCATGAACCTATCGGCTTAATAAGACTTATATTATCAACAACAATCTAGTAGGTCGAACCTAACCGATGCAGCACGAGATTGTATATGATAATCTAATACTCGATGAGCCGATAGATCTGTCTAATGTGATGGATATAACGAATCTATTTATAACAGCATTGTGATTGTAGAGATATATCGGCTAAGACAGAAGATCGGACCTAACCGAGACAGTCCCAACTAAACCGATGCATCTCTAAACACAATGCAACTAGCGATAGAATTGAGATATCAGGTAGGCAAATATATCAACCAAACCAGAGCGATCAAAGAGATCAAAGCGATGCAGCCTTGAACAACACCAACGTAGCCGATAGATTCACCAGGGCCCGACGGAACGTAGGACTTACCCCTTCGCTGGAAATCGAACTAAACCGATGCAGCCCCGCGTCAGGTGCCCAAATTCCGCCGGAAGATAAGTAAAAACCTCAGGGAAGAGGGTGGCGATGCGCCGAGAGTAGTTGTATTGATCGAGATTGATAGATTACATTGACCCCGGGTGTACATATTTATACCCATGGGTTGATATAAGTCCTTGTCGGACAAGAAAGAAACTATCCTAAAGATAAAAGGAAAACATAAAGTCCTTATCGGACACTAAACACACTTTCCTAAAGATAAAAGGAAACTAACAAACTATTCCTAACTAATAGATAACTTGTCATGCCGCATCCTCCTTAAACTCGGTCTCTTCTGGATAAGCTTCCTTTAGTAGATCGATTTCCTTAATCGAATATAGCAAGAATTCGACAACTGACGACTTGATAACTCTCATCGGCTGATTCTAGAACTTTGAAGCCGATACTGATTTTCAGCGCCGATGATGACTTTAGGGCTTACCAAATTTCACTGTTAACACATGTCCCCCAGTTTTGGAGTATGAGAACTCATGCTTCAAAATTTATTGTCTTGATAACTCCAAGACCGATCTTCCTTTGCTTCTTGTAATTAGCTTTCATGAGCTGATGCTGTTTGCATTAAATGAGCTAGACAGTCAAACTCGTGGCAAAAGAATCTCTCTCTGATAGGGGATGACAATCCTTGGAATGCAAGATCTGCGAGCTGCTCATCGCTTAAACTCAAACTATAACATCGGCCGCGGACATTACGAAATCTCTTAATATATTCTATAGCCGATTCTCCTTCTTGCTGCTCAACCGATATTAAATCTGAAAGCTTCAACTCTTTGATTCCAGCAAAGAAGTAGTCATGAAATTGCTTCTCAAGATCGGTCCATCCTTGGATAGAATCTGATGGTAGCGATGAAAACCATGTGAAGGCCGATGCAGTCAAAGATAATGGAAAAAATCTAACTTTCAGAGCCTCTTCAGCCGATGCCTCCCCACATTGTGCTAAGAGTCGGCTGATGTGTTCCATTGTAGGTGTATCATCCTGCCCTGAAAACTTGGAGAAATCTGGAACTTTGTATCGGTGTGGCAATGGCACCCTATCAAATCAGTCAGGATATGGCAGCCGATACATATGGATATGTTCCTTAGGTTTGATTCCAAACTGCACCTCTATTATCTTTGCAATTCTATCGGCCAAATCATTGTTATATTGATATTCTTCATCATGCCCATATTGACGAAGTTCTTCTAGCCGATACTAATATGCTTGCCCCCCGAGCCGATTCTTTTGTGCAACTATTTCAGGAACTATCTTCTTGATCACATTTTGTAGTGTACTCATCAAAACTCCAGACTGATCAAGCAATCCGCGATGAACCGCTTCATCAACTGTATCTTGAAGTATTTCAACTATCGGCTTGGGGAATCGAGTCTTCTGAATTGGCCCTTCGGGTATCATGATGAAACATTGAAGACAACGCATTTGCAAATTAGCTACAAAGTGCACCATCTGTTGCTGTTCCTCCGTTAAATTTTCCACCGTGACCATGATCTTGGCATTGACTTCTTCTTCAGACATGTTGGGTATAAAACTCAGGTCTCACCGGGCGTGCCAAAAGCGTGTTGATGCGAAAATACGAGGCCTGGGAGATCTGCTTAGCTCCAATGGAGGTCCAAAGGTGGTGAGGTGCGGGTGTGCCAGTCAGTTTGATCCTTCAACTGACAAGATATGTAAACAGTAGATCAAATAGCCGAGCGGCTAAACAGCCGATGGAGCAATCCCAGCCGATGCTGATACCAGCCGATAGCGATAGGGTTTTGAGCTATCGGCTATATATCCAATGTAGATCCTAATACTTGATGTAAATAATGATATAAAGGCAATCGGCTGATGATGATAAATAATAATAATATAGCAATATAATCCAGTAGAAACCAATCGGCAAGCAATATGATATGATAGAACAAGCACAGATCCGAAGGTTAAAGCATACATCGGCTGAAGGTCCGATGCCATAAAATCAACAGATTAGATTAAACAGTGAAACCTTTGCTGTCATCGGGTAAATCCAACTTGTATATATATGTAATCATTATAAGCCAATGCAACGTCCAGATAAGTTATTGGCTAGCACTCCGATAAAACATTAGCATGAACCTATCGGCTTAATAAGACTTATATTATCAACAACAATCTAGTAGGTCGAACCTAACCGATGCAGCACGTGAGTGTATATGATAATCTAAAACTCGATGAGCCGATAGATCTGTCTAATGTGATGGATATAACAAATCTATTTATAACAGCATTGTGATTGTATAGATATATCGGCTAAGACAGAAGATCGGACCTAACCGAGACAGTCCCAACTAAACCGATGCATCTCTAAACATAATGCAACTAGAGATAGAATTGAGATATCAGGTAGGCAAATATATCAACCAAACCAGAGCGATCCAAGAGATCGAAGCGATGCAGCCTTGAACAACACCAACGTAGCCGATAGATTCACCAGGGCCCGACGGAACGTTGGACTTACCCCTTCACCGGAGATCGAACTAAACCGATGCAGCCCCGCGTCAGGTGCCCAAATTCCGCCGGAAGATAAGTAAAAACCTTAGGGAAGAGGGTGGCGATGCGCCGAGAGTAGTTGTATTGATCGAGATTGATAGATTACATTGACCCCGGATGTACATATTTATACCCATGGGTTGATACAAGTCCTTGTCGGACAAGAAAGAAACTATCCTAAAGATAAAAGGAAAACATAAAGTCCTTATCGGACACTAAACACACTTTCCTAAAGATAAAAGGAAACAAACAAACTATTCCTAACTAATAGATAACTTGTTATGCTGCATCCTCCTTGAACTCGGTCTCTTCTGGATAAGCTTCCTTTAGTAGATCAATTTCCTTAATCGAATATAGCAAGAATCCGATAACTGACGACTTGATAACTCTCATCGGCTGATTCTAGAACTTTGAAGCCAATATTGATTTTCAGCAGATGATGACTTTAGGGCTTACCAAACTTCACTGTTAACAAAGTCTTATACAGTACATTAATAATACAAGGGTTGTCCAAGTGCGACCCAATTAGACCAAGCATGGTCGATTACATTACAAAATATCAAAAGAAGTAGATGGGGTAGCAGAGGTGGAGCAGCAATGGCCCAACTTATTCCACAGGTAGTGACTGGTAAACCTAGATCCCTACTCCACCGTCTTCGACACCCTCTCGTCAGCATGCCACACTTGTGGGTCGGGTCCAACACCTTCTTCTAAAAGAGTTAATTAAGCAAGTGTAAGTATCTACCGTACTCAGCAAGCCACTACTACAGGATGTATTTGGTGCACACGGGGGACTTGGTTTATTTGCATAAAGCTAGACTTTAGAAATTATTTCACAAACCTATGACTTAGCAATTTTAACTGAAAAACAACGTTAAGTTGAAGTTGTCGTTAATCAGCGAGGGTTCATCCACCTTTCCCAAGCCTTGCTTGGTCCTGTTTGCCTTCGCAACCAGCTTTCCACAACTTTCACCATTTCGACCTTCCTTTCCACCTAATCTAAGCACTATTAAAACTTATTAGGCTAGTCAAGAGTAGTACAAGTCCTAGCGCTCATTAACAACGAGCATGGCTATTCAAAT